TATCTAGAATATGGTTTGCAAACCATTGCATGCTACTTTGAAATGGTACTTAGGACTGTTTTCCACTCTGAAATCTGTAGGACCTCACTCCTGAGCACTCAGCATCTCTATTTGGAGGTCTGTTGGGCATCTGACTTTACACAATCTCAGCTGAACTCCTGATTTCCCTCTGTCTCCCCTCCCTGCAGCCTGGATCCTTTGCCTGCCTCACTACCATCTGTGCTGCAGTGCAGGCCCTAAACCTGAGACTTCCTCAGTCTTGCCTTCTCTTTTCCTCATATCCATCAACAGGGCCTGTAGGTTCTACCTTTTAAGATTTATCCTGAAACCTATTACTTTTCCAGTGCAGCTGTGCCAACCTCTCACACCTTTGGGGTCCCATCCCCTGGGAGACCCTTCAGTCCAGTGGATTCCCATTACTTCTCTTCATCTGCATTGGGGCACTGGTCCAAGCTACTGCCTCTTATCTGCACTTCTAGAATTTAACTCTCCACTCTGCACCCACTCTCATTTTCTCCTGTTTGATTTTCCACACTGCTGCTGAAATGGTCATTTAAAAATGAAACTCTGCTTAGCTCATTCCATTGTTTAAAGCCTTCCATTGCTCTCCTGATGCTGAGGATAAAATGTAAGCTCTGTGCGTCTCCTACACCGCATGATGTTGTCTCACCGCCTTCTGACCTCGTGTCCTACCACACACCTCCCATCCCCGCCTCCATTCCCACCCTCAGCCCTGTTCACCTTGTCCTCCTCTCCCCAATGCTTCCCCGGGCTCCTTCCTGCAGCAGGTCTCCATGCTTGCTGCTGAGGATTCCTCCTCCAGATTTTTGCCTGTCCAGCTCTTCATATCAATCAAGAGTCTGTTAAAATGTCTCCTCTTTGCAACGCCCTCCATGTCTCCCTTTAGTAAGATAACTGTTCCCAGCCCCATCAGTTTGTACTCCCCAGATTGCCTGATTTTCTTTTCTTTCTTTGATCATTACCCCAAGTTATATTTCTAGTGTTTGCTTGTGTGTTTTTCAGTATCCCTACAAGACTGTGTGTCCCCTTGGTGGGGACATAGTCTCCTTTATCACAGGTCCCCATTGCCTAGACTGATGCCTGATGCATGGCGGTGCTCAGAAGAACAGGGGGATCCGTCCATGAAGGTGAATGTCTTCCAGTCTTGTCACTGTTCTCATTCTTGACAGGGTGAGATCTGCCTCTGTACAAGCAGGATCTTTGTTCAGAAGAGCATCTACAGTGAATTTTTAAAAAAGTTTGTAGAAGCTACCAGAAAGTGGAAAGTTGGCATTCCTTCTGATCCATCAGCCTGCATGGGTGCCCTGATAAGTAAAGAACATTTGGAGAAAGTAAGTAAATCTCTGTCATGTGAGTTGCAGAAAGTTCTTCTTTGAGAAGAAGCTCAGTGCAAACGTAGTATACACATCAGGCTTTGACATACCGTAATTGCTTTTGAAAATTATGAACTGTGGGAAATTGTCTCTGGATACAAAGTCTATTTTAGACAATGACTATGCAAATGGGGCTCTGGTTAAAGCAGCATCCACCTGGAATGAATGAACTAGGAATAAAGTCAGCTTGGAAATGCCACCTATAGAGTAGGGAAATTTTAAAACGTGAAAGTCATAACAAGGCCAATGTAGACCAAGAGCAGTAGGGAATTCCTTTAGACATTTGCTTGGCTTTCTCCTCCCTCTTCTTACATTAAATGTCTCCCTCCAAAATGAGGACTTTTAGCCCTTTCTATGGAAAACTGAATACTTTAGGACTTCTCTTACCTCTTTGGTGAGTTTTTCTCCATCATCCTTAACACCACCGGACATACAAGCAGTATTGCTTATTGTAACCCCCATTGACAGCTTCCCTTGACTAGAGTAGGCCCCACAGTCAGGTTCATTTCCTACTGTGCCTTCAGACCCTAAAAAGCACATAGAACATGGTAGGTGCATAGTATTGGTTGGGAGAGTGTTTGGGTCAACACCATATTGTGTAATCCAGTTACGCTGTTTGTCCCAAACTTACACCACCACCACGGTACACATTTTCCTTGAATTCTTTTTGGCTTAAACTTTCTGAAACCGAGTCTAAAGTGCATCCTGAAATAGATCCTGTCCATCTCTCCTGCTTGCACGACTCTCAGCATCAAGCTCCTGAAAGGAAAAATAAACACAAAAACAAAATTCAGTCTTCAAGAAAAATCATCCATCATTATCTCTGAGTCACAGGGTTATTACATAATTTATTTTTCCGTATAGTCATCTCTCTCTCTCTCTCCACATATGTATGATATATAATATAATAAATGTAATATAATATAAATAGAATCCCCTAGATATAGCTTCAGAATATAGTCAGTACTGAAAATAAAAATTAGAAATTTTTTGTTCTAGAGGCTGTCTTTACCTAAATCTTATACATCATTCACTTACTGCTTTCTACAATGGACACAGTTTCTTAATAACTTTTTGAGTGTTTAACAACAGAATATACCTGAGCATGAATTTAGCTTTGCTATTCATTAACTGTATGAACCCTGAATATTTTCTGTCTCTCAGTTATTTTCTCAGCAAATAGAGAATAGCAACAGATAAAGGTAGCTGAAAGAGTTTTGGGGAAATTGAGAATATTTTAGTGCCTGGCACTTAGACATTACATAAATTACTTCCCTCCCCTGTGAAACAGGGCTGAATGCCCAAATGGTGGTTGGAATTCTCTGAGCAGCCAGAGGCTTCTGGGAGGTTGAAGCAGGAGGATTGTACATTCAACCCCAGCCCTGACAATTTAGTAACTTTATGAGAAGACAAAAGAATTGGGAATTTAGCTCAGGGTGAGGGCTCTGGGTTCAATCCCCAGTACTGCCAATAACTCACTCATTCACTCACTCACTCACTCATTAACTAACCAACCAACCAACCAACCAACCATAGATTTCTTTGCAATTACCTCATATTGCTTTTGCTGATTAGAGAATATTGGCTTTTTTTGTTGATTTTATGAAGTCAAGTGATAAATGTTTTCTTACCTGCCCAGGTCAGAGGTTACATCAAGAGAGCTCATGCTGAAGGGGCCCATATTCTGTGTGGAGAGGGAATAGATAATTTGAATCTTCCCGCCAGGAATCAGGCAGGCTACTTCATGCTTCCCACAGTGATAACAGACATTAAGGATGAGTCCTGCTGCATGAAGGAAGAGATATTTGGGCCGGTGACATGTGTCGTCCCCTTTGAGAGTGAAGAGGAAGTGATTAGAAGGGCCAATGGTGTGAAATATGGGCTGGCTGCTACTGTGTGGTCAAGCAATGTGGGCCGCATCCACAGGGTGGCTAAGAAGCTGCAGTCAGGTTTGGTCTGGACCAACTGTTGGCTCATCAGGGAGCTGAACCTCCCTTTTGGAGGCATGAAGAGCTCAGGGATAGGAAGAGAAGGAGCCAAGGACTCTCATGACTTCTTCACAGAAATCAAGACCATCACTGTCAAACACGAATGACTGCCTGTGGAGAGTCTGAAATGACCAATGGCTGGCAGCAGAGAATCAGCTGTCCAGTGTGGCAAATGGAAATGCCACCATATATGGTGCCCTGTCTTGATCCTGCAGGAAGTCATCTTCAGTTTATCTGCAGTAGATAGTGTCTTTTACCAGCTAGTGAAGAGATGTTGTCCATTTTCAATGTGGAGTCAGAGCAGAAAAGACTTCTGCATAGGATGGCACTACAAGGAAGCCAAAAATTACCAGTCTTCTCTCATGGTATATCTTCATAATTACTTTCTCCATCAACTTGATTGAATCCTTGGGAATCATTAATAACCATATATTTTCATTTGCAAATATAAGATTAAAAATCTACAAAGCTGAGTAGAAGCAATTTACCATTTAATTTCTATTTTTGAGGAGGCTGTGGAAATGGTCTCCTGCTCCATTAGCTGTTACTATGGTTAATTGATAGTTGATTATACCTTATTATGTAAAGGGGCAGTGGAATGTCTATGCAACTTGGTAAAGGGGACTTATATTATTGATCATGCTAAATATATTTGTACAGGACAAAGAAAAATGAAATTACTATACTTTTTTTATTGTTTTTTTTTTTTGTTTTTTGAGACAGGGTCTCACTATGTAGTTGATTCTGACCTGGAACTCACTATGTAGCCCAGGCTGGTCTCGAACTCCCATTGATCCTCCTGCCTTAGCCTCCCTGAGTGCTGGGATTACAGGCGTGCACGACAATGCCCAGCTACTATACTTTTGGATGGAGGAAATTTGGAGCACAAAGATAAAATAATTTGATTCATTTCTACTGCCAATTATAATCAATTCTAATTCTTGGTGTTCCTAATGAGGCTTAGAATTTACTAATCCTAAAAGAAGCAATAAATGTTGAATAATTTTAATAAAAGTATGGGATATATGTTCTTCAGGTGTCTATTATCCTCCTTATCCCAGCCCTCTTAGAAGTATGGACTACTAGTAAAGGTATAACTAGTGATTTTTTTATGGATCTCCAAATTATCTGAGAGAAAATTGAGTTTTACAAAGGTTAAATAGCATATTTAAGGCCATACAAATGGTACAGGGAAGAGGTAGGATTTCAACATCAGACCCTAAAATTCACTCTGACAACCTCACCCTTGTCTTTGGTTTTGATACAAAAGCACTGAAGCACTTATATCTTAGGGCACACATTGTGCTAGGTTCCTCCTTCAAGTCTCCTTCTGCTTTGTCTCTCTCTGTTATTCCCCTCTGAAAACCTTGATTTAGAATACAGTGCCTGGCATGCAGAAGAATGGGATGAGGTCTTCCTGGTGCTCTGGGTGTAGTAGTAGGGGGAAGAGTAAATCTTATAATTTTGGATATTGGCTTGTTCCCAATTGTTGAGAATTATCAGTCAGACTCTTTAAATAAAGTGATTCCATTAGATTATACTGGTTCCTAGTTTTCAGCTTCCCTCTGTCTCCTTTTCTGTTTCTCTGCTCTAACACACCTCAGCAGCCAGGGCTTATCATCTTTGCCTATGATGTCTTGGCCTCCTACTCCAGTCTTTCCTAGTTTATTCCAGCCCATCAAAGAGGGTGAATCCAGACTCCAGACTTTACTCTTCCCAGGCCACCTCATCATCCCTTAAGTCCTCACAGCAGCAGGGATTCTCTTTCTGGTAAGTGACAGAATTTTACTGAAACGATGCATTCAGAAATGATGATAAAAAATTTGGAGGAGGATTTCCAAGGGATGTGATTATATTTATACACTTTTGTTTCTAAGACAGGTTATGGGCTTACAGGTATTTATTATTTCTTATGTCAGAGATATTTACATACCAAGAAAGGAAAGTAGATCATCCTGAAGGACATTGGAGAGAACCTGGGGCAGAATATGAGAGGAGGTAGGTCACCTCTTCCCAGCTGAGCTCTAGAAATCCCAATTATGGAGGCATCAAAGATGAGAGCAGGCACTGATGGGAAAGCTGTGCTTCCTAGATTTGATGTGCTGGTCCACTGGGTGTCCTGTATAATGTAGATTTGGCTTCAGGATTAGGCCTAGTCTTGCAGTTTGAGTGTTGAGGAATTAGAAGGCGTTGAAATTTCTGGCTCAGGTATCTCTTCCTCACCTTTCAGGTCTCAGGAGCAATAGGCTACAACATTTTCTTTCTGCTAGTGACAAAGGAAGGGCTTGAGTGGGACATCTTCCTGAATAAGGCCAATGTAGTTTATGTTGCAAAGAAAGCCTGAGAGAGCTCTGGAGCTTCCATGAAACTGAGTGGAGGATGAAGAGAAAGACTGTTCCACTGATAAGTAAAATATAGAGATCCCTCTGTATGCAGGGGAATTGGGTTCAGGGTACCTGTTACTCTCCTACTTGAAGATCCCAAGGTCTAAGGATGTGCAAATCCCCTATATAAAATGGAATAGCATTTGTATGTAATCCTTGGATATCCTCCTGTAGATTTTAATCAACTTCAGATTACTTTAATACCTATTAGAGTGTAAATGCTCCATAAATAATTTCTGTACTATGTTGTTCAGGTCCATGTTCGGGGTTATTTTCCATGTAGAGTTGGTGGAACCCAGTGTTGTGGAACCCATGAAAACAGAAGGATGACTGTGCACATAGAATCTGCCTATGTTCTTAACTTGGGTAGTTAATGAGGATATAAGCAGAGCCATCCATGCAGCCTAAAGAGAAGCTTGTCTCTGACTCATTCACACATAGAAAATGTGGAGTCAGTTCCTGGTATCATGATGACTTACATGTAAACTGCTCTTCCAAGCTCAAAAACAAAACAAAACAAACAAACAAACAGAAAGTGACTTTGCCAATTACCTAAGCTAATTAACCTGTATGATTTTTCTCAAGAATGGTTATCAGTCAATCAAGGGCTATCAAATATCTGGCAAAAGAGAAACACCAAGAAAACCAAAAGTGTAAATAAGATCCAAATTGTATAACTAATAATGTGAAATAAGAAGAAAAGGGCTAAAGGTGTAGGGGAACTGGGAAAGATAGGGGAAATGAAAAAAATATGAAAAAAGGAAAAAATGGAAACAAAGTCTTGTAAATAGAGAGGAAATTATAAAGATCAGAGCAGAAATTAATACAATGGAGACTGAGAGAGTGCTACAAAAAATCAATGAATCGAAGAGTTGGTTTTTTGAAAGAATAAATAAAATTGATAAACCCTTAGCCAACCTTATTAAAAAAAGGAAAGAAAAGGCTCAAATCCATGCAATTAGGAATGAAAAAGATGAAGTCACAACAGATCCAGCAGAAATCCAGAGGATCATTAATATCTACTTTGCGAACCTGTACTCTTATAAAATGGAAAACACAGAAGAAATGGACAGATTTCTAGATGAATAAGAATTACCAAAGTTGAACAAATAAGATATAAACATTCTAAACATCTGAATTACAATCAGTGAAATTGAGAATGTAGTTAAAAATTTACCAACAAAGACAAGCCCAGGTCCTGATTGTCTCACTGCTGAATTCTGCAAGACATTTAGAGAAGAACTACTATTAATACTCTTTAAACTTTTCAATGAAATTGAAAGGAAAGCAATACTTCCAAATTCATTCCTGGAAGCAAGTGCTACTTTGATTCCAAAACCAGGGAAAGACCCAACCAAAAAAGAGAACTACAGGCCAATCTCCCTAATGAACATAGATGCAAAAATCCTCAACCAGGTATGGCAAACAGAATACAGAGGGTCATCAAGAAGATCACACATCCTGACCAAGTTGGATTTATCACAGGAATGCAAGGAGAGTTCAATATATGTAAATCAATAAATGTAATACAATATATTAACAGAGTGAAAGACAAAAACTATATGATCATCTCCATAGATGCAGAAAAAGCATTTGACAAAATTCAACACCCATTTATGATGAAAACCCTTGATAAAGGCTATCTATGAAAAACCAACAGCCAACCATACCAAATGGTCAAAAACTGAAAACCTTCATGCTAAAATCAGGAACAAGGCAAGGATGTCCACTATCACCACTCCTGTTCAATATTCAAAACATTTTTGGAAACATTAGCCACAGCAACTAGACAAGAGAAAGAAATAAAAGAAATAAAGATAGGAAAGGAAGAAGTTGAACTGTCATTATTTGCTGATGATATGATACTCTATGTAAAAGACCCCCCAAAAAACTCTGCCAAAAGACTTCTAGACTTAATTGAAGATGCAACAGAGTAGCTGGATATAAAGTAAACACTCAAAAATCAATAGCCTTCTACACAATAACAGATTCATTGAGAGAGAAATTAGGGAAACATTTACTTTCACAATAGCATCCAAAAATGAAATATCTAGGCATCAATCTAACAAAGGAAGCAAAAGACTTTTACATTGAGAACTACAACACTGTGCAAAGAAAGAACAAAGAGAATATAATAAAATGGAAAGCTATCACTTGTTCCTGGGTAAGAAGAACCAATATAGTGAAGATGGTCATACTTCCAAAACTGCACACAGATTCAATGCAATCCCTATTGAAATCCTAACAGTTTATTTCACAGAACTAGAGAAATCAATCCAAAAATTCATTTGGAACCAGAAGGACTAGAGTAGCAAAAGCCATTCTAGGCAACAGAGACATGGCAGGGGGAATCACAATCTCCAATTTAAAACTAGACTACAAAACCACTGTGTTAAAAATAGTATAGTACTGGCAAAGAAACAGACCCGAGGATCAGTGGAATAGATTAGAAGATGCAGAAACAACTCCAGACATACTCAGCTACCTCATCTTTGACAAAGGTACCAACCAGCCTCACTGGAGGAAAGACAGCCTCTTTAATAAATGTGTTGGAAAAACTGGATTTCAACTTGCCAAAGATTGAAACTAGACCCCTATCTTTCACTATGCACTAAACTAAAATCAAAGTGGATTAAAGATCTAAATATTAAAAGTGAAACACTAACCTTGTTGGAAGATAAGCTAGGTACAACTCTTGAATACGTTGGCATAGGAAAAGATGTTATGAAGAAATCCTCAGTAGCACTGGAATTAGCACAAATAATCAACAACTGGGATCTCACCTTTTAAAAAAGCTTCTGCACTGCAAGAGAAACCACCAACAGAGCTAGGGGACAAACTACAATGTGGGAAAATATTTTACTAGCTGTTCCTACTATCTAGAACATATAGAGAACTCAAAAAACCCAGCCCACCCAAATGTAACGATCAAATTCAAAAATGGGCATCTGCAATGAACAGACATTTCTCAGACAAAGAAGTAAAAGCAGGAAGTAAATATATGAAAAAATGTTCCACATCACTGGTCATTCGAGAGATGTAGATGAAAACATTCTGACATTCCACTTCACCCCACAAAGAATGGCTGCTATCAAGAAATCAACCAATAACAAATATTGGTGGGATTGTAGGGAGAGAGGAACCCTTCTCCATTGTTGGTGGAAGTGCAGAGTGGTGCAACCACTGTGGAAATCAAAATGGAGATACCTGAAACAAGTAGGATTGAAAGTCCCATTTGATCCAGCTATTCCTCTGCTGGGTATCTTCCCAAAAGAATTAAAAGAATCATACCACAGTGATATATCCTCCCATGTTTATAGTAGCACAGTTTGTAATAGCTAAAATTTGGAAACAGCTCAATTGCTCATCAACTGGAGACTGGATAAGGAAGATGCGTATTTTATTTTTTTATAAAATGGAGCACCACTCAGCCATAAGAAACTAGAGACATTTATAGCTAAGTGGTTGCGCATTGAGGACATTCTTTTTTTTTTTTTTGGTACCGGGGATTGAACTCAGATTCTTGTGCTTGCAAGTCAGGTGGTGGAACCACTGAGCTAAATCTCTGGCTTGAGAACATACTCCTAAGTGAAATTAATGGGACACACATGTGTAAATACCAAATAGTTTCTCTGGTATGAAAAACTTAAAGTGTATAAGTGTCAAAATGTATAATTGATATTTTGTAGTAGGAAGAAAAGGTCTAAAGATATTGGGTAAATGGGAGGGGTAGGGGGTAAAAAAGGGAAGAGAAAAAATAAGAGAAAAGGAAGAAAACGGAGACAAAGTCTTTGTAAATAGGGAAGGGTGGAGGGGGTGACGGGAGGGCAGGGCTATGGGGAAAAAATAAGAACCAAGACCTGTCATGTGAAGGTACAAGATCCCAATGATGAATGTAACTCTTGTGTATCTAGAATGTAGCAAATAAAGATTCAGTTTATTAAAAAAAATGGCAAAACAGAAAAAAAGAGAAAAATAAAAATAATAAGACATTTCCCCCACAAAATGATTTCTTTAAATGGAGAATACTCAGACATATTCAATTGAAATAAAAATATTCCAATATGCCGGGCGTGGTGGCGCACGCCTGTAATCCCAGCACTCGGGAGGCTAAGGAAGGAGGATCACTGTGAGTTTGAGACCAGCCTGAGCTACATAGTGAATTCCAGGTCAGTCTCAACTACGTAGTGAGACCCTGTCTCAAAAAGCCAAAAAAAAAAAAAAAAAAAAA